CTTTCGCTGTTCAGATACGCCGGTGCCTGTTAGGGCCATGGATGTGGGTAATTTGCGTCAGTCGCAAGGGTATAGTACATGTATTTGAAAACTTTTTTATTTGCTGTTTGATGGTCCTAATATTAGAACTTAAAGGGATGAACTGGCGGCCATACTTAGTAATGGCCTGATAGCTTTCTTGAAGTTTCCTGCAGTTTCTAACGGCAAAGTGGAGCCTCCTGTATTAACTTTCCAGCAGTTACTTCAAGAAAATGTTCAAACCATGAAAATGCTGGATATCGATAAAGATACGGTTATGGAACTGCTCACCGTGAGCACCGATAGGAAAGGTTTGCGGAGTTATTAACGTTGTCGCATTTGTTAATGTATTATAGGCAAATTTTTATTTTTTTTCATTTTGTTTGTCTATTTGGATTAAACTTACTGCAGTGACTGCATACCGTTATGACGAAGTTGGTCTACTGACCTTACGAAGTTGGGAGGTGCCAGCTAACGTGACAGGAGTCTCTCTTGGTATATCACGTAGTGGTTTTGTTCTTGGAAGTTTTGCGCAGGCCATGCAGCAGTTTGTTGTTAGCATTAACCTTTCTGTAACGGATGGAGTGAGCTTCCCGAAAACACTAATATCGGACCCGGCACACTTTAACATACATTCTAATCCTATTGAAACTTTGCTGCTTGGAACTATTGTCAAAACTGTGCTCCTCGTTGATGACGGTGAAATCTCATCAATTAAATAAGATAATTAGCGCTCTTGCTCAACATTGACAGTAGGGGTAATTGCAAATTTAATTTAGATTACAACAGTGCAACAGAACTAAAAAATGTTGGAAGCAGCATAGTCGGCATCGCCACGGTTAAGCTCAGTCGGGGTTACCAGCTAATACTAACAATAGATCAATGTGGTTTGCTTTTAGTATACGGTTGGCGCGAGAAAACGGTGTGCACTTTCTCACTTCTTAAGTTACAATTTTTATTCACTTTGGCAGACTTGTCAGATGTACAGATGAAGATTATGAAAAGATAATTTGAAAGTTGAGGAGTGCTTTCTGATGTACGAGCGTGATCTTTTTCAGGTACCACAACTGCATCCTTTACATAAAATGCAACTTATAGTGGAACCGGTTTACCTTAGCGCTGTGGCAGACCATGAAGGGCTCAACCTTTATCTAGGTGTTACTAATATTTACTCGACACTCGCGGTATATCGCTTAAATTTACGTTCTTTTATCAGTTTATGAAACTGATTTAATTGTTACTGTGGAGGACGCTTTTTCCATTGTCACTTTTCTCTGTTGTTGTGCAGCTGAGATAGTTTTAATATTCGTTTCCTTAATATTCGGCATTATCTAATTCATTATTTATTAATGTATTTTAACAGCTGTTTCATTGTGGTGCCATAAAGTATGATTATTCTACCAATTTCTTTTAAACTGGCAAAAAGTTGTTAGCTGACTTCACGTTGTTTAGGAATATAACTTGCAAATGGAGTTTTCTGCGTGGTAAATTGACGTTCATAATGTTGTTTACGTATTGGTTCCTGTATAATAAGCATTTGACTAGTTATTTAAAGCTAATGGCTTTTTAACTGTGATCATCTTGAGGTTTTGTGCGTTTTATGTTGTCTTTTGGAAATGTGTAGTAGACCTTGTGGTCTCTACAGTAACCTTATACTGGGTTAAATTTTGGCCTAACTAAACCCTCTTACTATAGTTGATTTCTCTTCTATTGAAATACTGTAATCTTATCGTAATCTGGGGAGCTCTCTTACATTGAGTCCCTGGTAGATTGAATGCTTGCCTATAGCTTTACTGTATTTATTGCTTATATATGGATAGAGAGGGAGAGACGGTAATAGAATTAGCTTTATTTACATGAGAAGAAATCTATACTTTCAAACGGTAATTATAGTTCTCTTTTGAGGAAGAGAGATGGAATTAGAATAATATTAATCAATTGACCGCATGCCAGTACTTGTTAAACTTCAGAGAGATTAAGAAAACAGAGGTGGTTAGACAACACGAAGACACTACTACGCAACGAAATTATTCTGAATTTAGAAAGCACAAATGTACAACAAATATATTTGCTCACCTTCAAAAGGACTCCACTTGAAGAGCTACGGACAGATTAGGAATTCTGCATGATAGTTAATCGCAACTGACTGGTAACAAATCACTCAATAGGAATAAATAAATTAACGACGCCAAACTCAATTCTTGTAATAACTGATAACATGTAATAACAAACAAAGTTCTCTTTTGAAGTCTGCCCTTTGGCCTCTCAAAAAGGAAAATCTTTTTGTTTTACAAGAAATAAAACACAAAGGCTACGGTTATAATATTTTTGTTGAGCTTCGGAAGTGCTTTGTTTGAGCTGTGTTTGTTTGTGTGAATACGCAATTCTATTCCCCTTTTTCTACTTGTATCAATGGTTAGAAGTTTGTTATTAAATTTTACTGTATAGCCTTGCTAAATTTCTAGGTTCGATGAGAAAAATCGACAAAGTGATTTTGACATTTTATCATGTCAAATATATTTTCAGTCTTTATATTGTAAGAACCTCGATGATCAGAGTGTTTAAAAAATTGGTTTTGGTGGTCGATCTACTCAATATTGTTGTTCTGTGATCGAAGTAAAAATTAGTATTCAATGGCACTGTTTATGTCTTTTCACCTTAATAGCGGAAAGATCATTTTAGAAAAGACCTGTTTTAAAACGAGTGAAGGTTAAAGGTATGAAAGATTCATAAAACGGACGCTTGCTATACTGCTGATACTTAATGGTTTCATGATGTGTCGCTCAGGTAACAATAAATCCAGATTCGGTGACGCTAATGATGATCGCATTGATTGTGTTCTACGGAAGGAACTGTAGCGATATAGAACAGTTCATCCCTAATTTAGTGTGAAATTCTTTGAGGCGGAGTGTGCCTTGTTATGGAGAAATTCCAGCGAGTTGTGAGCAATGCCACTGCGTTATTCAGAGTGACATCCGGGTGACCTCCCGAAAGTCTCCATAAACAGTGGAGGGTGTATCTGTATGTAAATATTCCAGACCGGTTAACTTCTAGAGAGATTATGACATTTTGTCATTATTTCAGCTGTCAAAAAAAGTTTTCATTTATAATAGTGTTGCCAGACAGGTATTTAGTTAGTCGTGTTTTGCTGTAGGTGAAGCTGAATTGGTAAAAACTTACAGAAGGAGAGTTTTTTTGAAAGCATCTTGCTGTGATGCGTATAGATACGTATACAAAGTTATTACCGTAATCAATAAATTTTTTAGCGGGTTTAACTTTTCTAACAAACTTTAACTTACCTAGAAGTACATTGTCACTCTGGTTGCTAGCGTGTCAACCGAGAAGAAGATCAGCAGTTAGCCACCTATAAGGAAAAGGGTAAAAAAAAGAAACGGAGTTGGTTTCTGGGGTTAATTATCCTGTGGATCTGTTCCTTATCTTATGCGAATTTATTCAAACTTGACTTAAGTAGTACTCAACTGAATTCAACTGTTTTCCTATAATTAACTGAATTTTATATTCTAAACGTTACTTGTAGATTTTTCGCTTTCGTCATTATCTTTCCTGTTTGAAAAATGAAAGGCTTGCCATCTCATATGGAAATAATTAAATGATCAAGGAGAAATAAAATAAGTTAGAAAACATTAACATAAATTTAGCTAATTTATGATAAATTAAATTTTATTTGCTCTGATTTTTTTCTGAGCTTTTAGAATTGTCTCTATCTTGTACTCGTTAAAGTTTTCTTTAGGTCGACTTGTTCTCTTTTGAAATTATGTGCCGCAGTTCTCCAAAAACACAGAAATTTTTGAGAAAACCCTCGATCTAACAGTCACCCAGGAAAAGCAGTAAGGTCTTGGACTTCTATGCGACGCCAAAATGTATACAAAACAGGTCAAAAGAAAAAAAAAAAACAGATTTTGATACGTATTGCCAGATGTATTTTTTCACAGATGGCCTCATTTACAGAAGTAAGATGACGACCATATACAGAAGCAGTGCTGCTGTTCAATCAACGTTATCAACATATCTTAACACGTCGTTTTTCGACCAACCGCTTAGTATGTTTTGCTTCTGAAAAACATCCCGAATTTAAATATCTTGGTAAATTACGAAAAAAATAATTATTTTATAAAGAAACTTCTGTGACTGCTCAGGAATACACTATTTCTATAATTTACTGAATATGTGATCTTATTTTGAACCAGTATCCTCACAGTAAATTTGTTATTAATAAGAATACACAAGAAATAGCAGTTTCTTCTTCGCCCTAACATTCTCTTATATGTAGAAAAAGTATAAGTAAATGCGCTCCCAAATTTCACTAATACGTTTTGTAAATAAAAAAAACATGAAGGCATTAACAGAAAAAAAAATTAATTTTGCTAGATTGTAGTGAAACTTTAAAAGAAGAATTTAGCAAAATCATTTTACTAAACACTAGCCAAAGATTCGTTTATGTGAAAAGGTACAAAAAAACAAACAATCTAATAAAATTCTTTGGTTTTAACACACCTACACTGGTTCTTTATCATCCATCAAATAAGCAAAAACTTGAAACTTCAGGATAAATAAGAGGTAACAAAGTTACTGAAACTAAATCTACTATAAGTAGTTTGAAGAGTAATTGAATTTCTTTCAAGAACATGATTTACTTTTAAAACTATACGAAAATGGAAGAACTACAAAGGCAAGAATACGATGAATATTTAGCTACTAGTATGCTGCAGTGCGGAACAAATGACTACAAATTCTATAATTTTCCACTAAGACATTTCTACGAACAAAGAACCGGTGAAACCTTTGAAGAAAGATCCGGTTTTTAGTATGTAAAACTAATTATTACGTTTTATTAGAAGAAATGACTTTACTCAAATTTTGAAAAAAAAAGATGGTTAAGCGTTTAAAGCATTTCTGAGACAAAATGGTTTTTGTCCAAGCGGATATTGGAAAAATAGAAACCAGAAAAGCCATTTTCTCACCACTAGCAACAGAAGAAGACGCCAAACAAGAACAATTTTCAAGCCTTGGTTGCTTGTACGTCTTCTGATCGCTCATTTGTGGTCGAAAAATCAAGCTCTTCACGACGGCTATCGTTAGCATCTTTTCGTATC